TAGTCTTTTGCAGCCTGCAGGTTCATGCAGTGGTGTAGGATATCTTCTCACACCAGTTTGCAAGTACTCTCTTGTTTCTTTACTTTTTCCCATTTTTAATCCTACTGCTTTTCCATTTTTAATGTTTTTTATTTACTTGTTTCCATTCTTTTTTCTTAAATTAAGAAATTACATTTTGTTTTGATTCTGTGGTTAGGTTAATCATATTCATGCTAATCACGTGCGCATAAATTAAAATGGCGTCAAACCACAAACCCACGCGGTGTCTGCAGCTGGATTTTGACTTCCATTTTGTTCTCTCCTTGCTTCTTTTTGAATCCACCTTTGTGGTCCTTGACCCAAGCACAGAGGAATGATGTAAAAGCCAACTGGAGCGGTTCTCTGGCTTAAAAGATTAGAGGGCCCATAGAAGAAGATGAAAGAAGAAAAAGTCTGAAGAATTTTGCAGAAATTTGAATTTGGGCCTATTCTTTAAAAAGCTCTCGCTACATTACAGTCCACTTTAAAGGTACCAGGAGAATTGCTCAGTGAAGGAGAGCTCATCTAAGCCATTTATAAGGCTGTACAACGTAAGATAAAAGAGTTAATAAGTGTTTGAAAATCATAAAAACGGTCGCCATCTTGAAAAACCAACCTCAATCCTACATATACACGCCCAAGAGTTGGAACATGGACCAGTCCTGATACAGGCCTGAATCATTACTGATGATCGAGCCTGGACCGTGGATTTGGGGCAATGTCCTGATCCGATATTGACGAATCAGCCACGATTTATGCTGGTGCAAGACCTGATCCGACAACGATAACGATATTCATTAAGCCTCATTATGACGTACTTCCTGTTATGCTTAATTAATACTTAATTATTATTCATTATTAATTTAAAATGATTTGGAATTATTATTAAAACCAAAAAAAGATTATAATTGTTTTCTTCATCATAGTCTACCAATGTTCCACAAGTAAGACACTTCATGTTTTGTAACTTAAGACACCTAAAGAGCCATAAATTAAGAAGGCATTAAAATAATAAACTTACATTACTGAGAAATTAATTTCCCAAAATCTCCCAACATTAATGAACTCTGGGGTTCCATGTAGTGAAGCAGATCTTTCAAAGGTATCTTGTAACACATAGTCCTACAAAGCTTAGATCCATAACATAACTATAATGAGGCATAAATTCTACATAAGCAAAGGAACTACATACCTTCCTTAACCAGCATGATGAAGGCAGGTTCACAAAAAAATTCAATGCTATTTGAAGTGAACTATAATGACAAATGATGATAATAAATTAAAACACTATGATTAAACTGACCTTAACAAGAGCTTTAAACAAGAAAGTTTCAGTTCATCACAACCTGAATAATGAATTTAGCTTTTCACATGAAATTAAACAAACCTAAGATATTCTTGTCTTGAAACTTAGTGAGATAAGGTAACTATACAATGTATACTAGTGGCCTTGCTAAATTAATAAATTAATATGAATTAAAGGAGCACCTACTATACTAATATTTCCAGAATAATCTTCCGTATCAAAAATTCTAAGGAAAAGTAACAATTACACACATAATCAATAAACTATTTTACCACACTTGTGACTATCATTCATAAGTCTCTCAGTACAATATCTTCATCATCATGATCACTAATACATTCACCCTAATTAAAAACATAGTTACAATCACATGTAGTGAACCATTTTTACGCCTGATTTCTCATCGTCTTCACTAGTGTCATGATTATTGCAGAAAGGTCTTCTGGCTCTGTTTCAATGTTTGGCTCAATACTAGAAAGTTAACGGAGAATCCATAATGAAAGGTATGTACTTCTAATTATAGTCAATTAAACTGAAGTCATTAATCTCAAAATAATAATTAGCCTAAATTTATTATAAGTTTGTTCATGCAGTTTATACCCCTTTGATAATTCCTCATAAACCCAGGTCTCTACTTTTGTATCATAGAGATTTTGTAGGCAAGATGTGGTAAACTTTAATTGGAAGTTGTCAGTCGTTTTATTTTCCAGTCATGTATCTGCTCAATTAATTTATTTAGCTTGATTGTGTATCTACATGTGCCTACTTTTTACTCAAAATATCGTGTATCCTACTCATGTTTAAGTAACAAATGGTTCAAAATAGCCTAAAAATAGTATAACATTTAATGTAGTCCACGGTACTCACATAACATCCAGTGATTTAGCCCTAGTGTGTACAGCCAACGAGATTTCTCTTAAAGAGTCAGATTAAGATGATTTTCTTTAACAAAACATGTCAGGTAGTCCACTCGGGGCTGCCATCTTGAAAAGCATCGATCTGATCCAGTACTGATATACAGCCTGGACCAGTGCTGACGAACAGACATTACTGTATCAGCTATGACTACATCGGGACTGAAATAGATACTGGTCCAGGCCAGAGCAACAGCCTCGATTCAGCAGTGATGGCCGTCGATGCTGGACCGTTATAGAATCAAACCTGGTCCAGGCCTGATACCCATCATTCACGGATCATGCATGGTAACTCTTGGGTGTGTACTATAGGCTATCGCCTATAATACCGCCTATATAATACACAGTTCATGCAAGATGATGGCTAGAAGGCAAATACTTTTTACTAAAGGAGATGTAGACAGAATGAGAGCGGAGAACAGGAGGAAAGAGGTAGAGAGGACTGAGCAGCTCAAAATGGTGGCACAAGACAAACTAATGCGGGCCAACATGGCCTCCGAGGAGAAAGTGGAAAAGAAGATCCTAGCTAGAATGTAAAAAGCTATTTGTAACTGTGTAGTGTATGCTTAATGGTGCCTTTTAGATTGCAGCAAGAGGCCACGGAGAAAGAAACAGACGAGAAGATAGCAGCATCCATTAGAGAGAAAAAGTTAAGAGAACAGCAACTGGAGCAAGAGAAAATAATAGCTGAAGTATGAACAACTACAAATACTACACATTCTGAAAAGACTGACATAGACTCTACACTATTATTGCAGTACTCTATGTAATGGCTTTCTCCCTCAATCTCCTCCTTTCTCCACCCCATTTTACTTCTCCCTCCTTCTCTCCCTCTTTAGGAGTGACAAAAGATTAAACTTGAATCCCAAAGAGATGAGAGACTTCGTCAACAAATCAGAGACAACAGGTAAATAGCACTGGGTCATTATTTTGGTACGTAAAACTAAAAGTATACCAGTTTTAAAAACATGTGGCCGAAGTTGCCTCCCCCCCTCTGTTATCCAATGTGACACATATTGATGCCCTTATGCTGTGTAAATGTAGTTTGAGCTGATTCTGGCTGAAACTTGTAAGCCCAACAGGCATTGAAGTACATTTACATCTTTTGTAAATTAATATGGCATCATATTATTATTATTGATAGTCAGGAGTTGAGAGAGTTAGAGTCAAAGTTATGTGCTGGATACATGAACAAGGAAAGAGCAGCTCAACTTTAATTGGAACCAAAAGGTATTATGCACAACTGGAGAATGCAACTCTGTCTCTTTGTATAATCACCCCAAATTTTTATTACATTTTCTGATGCATATTGATGTACTTATGCTGTGTAGAAAGTTTGAGCTGATTCCGACTTCAATTTTTCGAGTTACGGCCATTTTAAGAAAATGCCAAAAATCTGAAAAATACCCAAGGCTATTCCATGTTTTTTTCCAAAAAATGGCCAAAAAAATCACACCAAATTTTTATGACATTTTCTGATACATATTGATGTCCTTATGCTGTGTAGAAAGTTTGAGCTGATTCTGACTTAAATTTTTCAAGTTATGGCTGTTTGAAGAAAGTGCCAAAATTCTGAAAAATACCCAAGGCTATAGCCCATGGTTTTTTCCGAAAAATGGCTCCAAAATTACTCCAAATTTTTATTGAATTTTCTGATACATATTGATGTCCTTATGCTGTATAGAAAGTTTGAGCTGATTCCGACTTCAATTTTTGGAGTTACGGCCATTTTAAGAAAACGCTAAAATTCTGAAAAATACCCAAGGCTATACCTCATGGTTTTTTTCCGAAAAATGGCTCCAAAATTACCCTAAATTTTTATTGCATTTTCTGATGCATATTGACGTACTTATGCTGTGTAGAAAGTTCTAGCTGATTCCAACTTCAATTTTTCAAGTTACAGCCATTTTTTAAAAATGCTAAAATTCTGAAAAATACCCAAGGCTATAGCCCATGGTTTTTCCGAAAAATGGCTCCAAAATCACCCCAAATTTATATTACATTTTCTGATACATTTTGATGTCCTTATGATGTATAGAAAGCTTGAGTCAATTCCGACTTCAATTTTTTCAGTTACGGCCATTTTAAGAAAATGCCCAAATTCTAAATAATACCCAAGGTTATATATAGCCCATGGTTTTTCTTTCCAAAAAATGACTCCGAAATTACCCCAAATTTTGTTACATTTTTGATACATATTGATGTCCTAATACTACAGTATGTCAAAAGTTTGAGCTAATTCTGACTTCAATTTTTCAAGTTAAGGCCATTTAAAATTTTTAAGAAAATAGTTTTTCTCCATAAATGGTTTTATAGTACAAAAATGTTTTTTTCCCCAAAGTAATGCCTCTAAAATGACACCCAATTTTTGATACACATTGATGTTACATTTTTTTTCCTCTTCTTTAAGATATGAAAGTCATTCTGGTGGCGAGAGAGAGATTCAGCGAACAATGCTGGAGCTGTTGAACCAGCTTGACGGGTTCGACTCAAGAGGTGATGTGAAAGTCATAATGGCTACCAATAGGATTGAGACTCTTGACCCCAGCCTCATTAGACCAGGTTATTAATTACTACACACATACTGTATACCATCTTAAGTCATCTATTAATCAACTGGACTAACGATTGTAGTGAATTTAGTAGCAATGGATCTTTAAAAGGCTACACGTAAGTCTGAAATTAAAGTAAATACTACACTGTATTTGTGGCATCAAGTTATGACAGGAGGCCAGAGTACATTTGCAAAGGAACTTTACTTGCTGTTCATATTTTAGGCCAGATATATTTATTTGGTACTGCTTTTAATACAAACCCAATGCATCAAAATTTATATTTTGGATTATCAAAGCCACACCCATTATTTAACCACACCCATTAGGTCGTATTGATAGAAAGATTGAGTTTCCTCTACCTAACGAGAAGACAAAGAGACGAATATTCCAGATACACACGAGCAAGATGACACTAGCTGATGATGTAGACCTTGAGGAGTATATAATGGCTAAGGATGACCTCTCTGGTGCAGACATTAAGGTGAGGATTGATTACAGTACATGTACTTGTGATCTTGTAATTGCAGTAGATATAATTCTTGTTGGCTAATGATGTTATGATTATGTGTATATTAAGATTCACACCTCATCATAACA